GAGTTTTATAGCACTATTCAAGCCTTTAAAGTTAGCAGTTAAATGCTGATTCCACCTTCAAAAGATCACAGTGCCTTGTTGGAAGGCATATATTTATAACTCGTTTGACTGGCTATTCCTTATTCATTCTTGGAAAAGTGGTGTGACTCAGTAATTTTGCAGCAGACACTACTGGGTGCTTACAGAAAATATTTTCGATCTTCAGTTGTCAAAAGTAATTTCTAAGTTATATATGCAAAACTAACGTATTTCTCAAGCCCCTGGGATTGCTGCAATCAAGAGTAAGCAATTAAATTAGAAAGAATTAGAAAACAAATAGTCTCATAACAAATACTTAGCTCATACTGCAGTCTGGGATCCCATTTACTGTGAGAGCTAACATTTTTCCTCACTGCCCTGTAGCATTCATTTCCTGGATGAGAGTCCCTGAGACCATGGTAAATCCACCCTACAAGGCCACCACAGACCAGCAGATGAGGCCATTATTAGCTGATGCAAATGTTGTCATTTCAGATTTTGTCTGACTTATAAATGTACCAGAGATGTACCTTTTTGTGTATGTGTGTCCCCACTATATTTTTTTTTTAAAGATTTATTTATTTGTGCATACAGAACTTGGGTACAGGCCAGAAGTGCAGGGTCAGTGAGAGGATTCATCAGAGACAGAGTGGGGAGCAGAACAGGCAGATCTATGAAGTACACTGCTGAGGGGAGTAGTGGGCGAGACAGGAAGCATCTGTCCTGCCATGAGGGTTACCTCCGGCTGGGGATCGAACTAGTGTGGGAGCAGCTGCAGCTAGCTTCTTAGTGTTGTGCTTTAACTCATTGTGCCACCGGGGAGGGCCCGTTTCCACTATTTTTAAAAGGCCTAAAATTTCACATACCTTCTGCCAGGATATAACATGCTGATTCATACCAATCAGAAAGAACACGTCTTTTGATCCTGACAGTCCCACTTTCATTGTAATGCCTAAAGGGTTCTGGAAAAGTCCTACATTATTCTTTCCTACATGTTAGTCTATATGTGTTTCTCAGACTCTGAGTTCCCTGAGGGTAGAGCCTATGCTTTATTCATCCTGTACTTTTGCACACCAAATAGTACTTTGGGGTACTTGGGACCAAAAAGAGCCAAAAAAAAAAAAAAAAAGTCAATACCCATAAGAAACAAACAATAAACCTATCAGCACATCCATTGATTACATACTTTAGAATGAAGGACAATTATGTTAGTAAATGAGTGCATCAGTAACAGCTGTTATTACTTGAAAATGATGAGAGAAGTTGTTTCCAGCACCTCTCCTTTGACAGTTGTGCAGCAAAGGGGAGGAATTTCTCCTGGCAGCTGTGAAGACCTACACTGTAGTTACAGTTCTGTCAGCTGTGTGTCTTTGAACAAAAAGCTTTCAACAAGTATAAAAATACGATTTAGGTATTAAAACCTCATAAGAATATACATCTTTGGGAAAATTTTCATTTGCTACCATTTTCAGATCTAGATAGCTTTTGGAAGCTGTGTTCATTATTCCAATACACATACCTCTCTGGACATGCTGTCATGTGAACATCTCAATATAGCAGCCTATGTGAATCATGCAGGTGCCTTTTCTGTTCAGAGTATTCTATAAAATTTATAATCCTAGTAAAAATCTTTAGTTATGAGTATCCTAGGGATGGATTAGAATTACAAGGATCACTGGTTGATACATACTTTTAAGAATCAATGAGGCATTTTAGAATGTATTTATACCAGGCAGGTTTGGGGGTTCTGGGATGCCCCCCCCCCTCTTGCCCTATAACAGATTCATTCAGCTCCTGACATTTGTGAGTTTAGTAGTCAGGATCAACAATTCCCAAAGATATTCCTTGTTTTTCTGAATCCAGAAAATGCCTTCAATGTCCAATTTCTTGAGTACCCTCTTTCACTAAAGAAAATGAGATGAAAAATTTACAATTTTTCATGGTATAAAAAGATGCAGCTCAAGAGTGATGATAAAAGTCAATGATTCACAGAATTTTTACTCTTTACAGTATACTGCTATACTTTGTTTAATGTTCCAGAGTTTAGGTTGAAAAAAAAAAGTCAACCTAAGAACATGTTCAGGCATAAAAGTAAATATGCTTAAAAGTTAACCTGCCAAGACCCATTCTGACCTTCCAAAGACAGACATTAGGAGGGAGAGAAATCCTATAATTAGTAACAAGGAACACCATAGCATAACCACATAGTACTTAACATCAGAGCAACAGGAAACAATCAACATTAAATGTTCACTTACAAAGTGATCTTTTAAAACACTTCTGTTATGCTTCACGAAGCCACTATGATAGCTCATGCATATTTTCAATCAAGTTTGATATGAAAAGACAAGATTAGATTTGCTTAATTCCCTTTGTAGGAAAACTTAGTTTTTAAAATACCATACTAAAAGCTGACCAAAATTTCTCATCTTTTGTGGGAAATCTAAATTTAAACCTTGCAATGTAAAGTCCTAGCCACAGAAAAATGTAGAGACATACTTTAGAATTTTTAAAGCAATCAGCACAGGCAATGTTAAATTATCATGGTTTTCTAGAAAAAACAGAGGCGCACTGTACAGAAGACCCTCACATTTGTGGTTCTGCTTATTCCCTGTGGGCAGTGCCAACCCACTCTCTCCCCTGTAATGACTCTTTGTTTTTACTAAATCCCAAAGGGCTGGTGAGAGCTCTGCAAAATGAAGGGGGGAGGGGTGGGTGGAATGCAGCTGCAGGCTCTGAAACAATGCTGAGTCCATATATTTTGTTCCCAGTTAGAATAATAAAAAGGAGACTGGGGTGGGGGTGGAGGGTTGAAGAGAGAATCCAGAATTAGCAAGGTAGGACACCAAGTAGCTCAGAGTTTGTAGTTACAAGGCCCCTCCTCCTTCCACCCCAAGTCCACTCCACCAAATCTAATAACCATTCATTTGGGTTAAAAGGCTTATCTATTACAATTCCAACACCCATTAATATTTAAATCTATCAGTCATTTATATCTAAATTACTTTTATCAAGAACATCAGTAGTCTGCTCTTATGTGCAATCTTCTTTTCTGTTGCTTCAGCTACCAGAGGTAAACTGAGATCCAAAAATATTGCCTACAAGAAGATATGCTGGAAGAAAAGATGTGCCACTTTCACAAAATTATAGTATATGGTTATGGTCGTTCTATTTTATTGTTAGTTTTATAAATTAAACTTTATCATAGGTATATCTGCATAGGAAAAAGCACAGTATCCACGGAGTTTGGTACTATCTAAGATTTCAGGCACCCACCAGAGTCTGCATCTGTACCCCTTGTGAATAAGCGGGGGACTACTGTATACTCAGGCAAGGAATAGAGTATGAAAACAGTGAAACAAGCAAAGACTATCTGGGGAAGCTTGTACACATGAGACAGGAAAGCTGTGAGGCAGGTAGATAAGAGAATTCAGAAATGGAGGCCCAAAGTCTCAAACAAACTGCCTGCTTTACAAAAGGTTCCGAGGCCTAAGGGCAATTGGTGTGCCAACAATGAAAAGTGTATAAATCAGGAGTCTGGAAACCTGCAAATGTCGTTTCTTGCAGTTTTTCAGTATAACCTGGTGGAAAAAATGCTCTTCACTTCTATTTCCCTGGATCTTAAATCCCAACTGGGAGAAGGGGAGTTAAGGAAAGAGGCAGCTCCCAAAGGAGGTGACAGCTGCTAGTGAGGGAGAAGCAGCTCAAGCCTTACTATCGTCTAGGTCTTGCCCTCTCCTTTCCAGATAAACCTCTACTGAAAATCCATGGCACCCTCCAGGGCTCTTGGACTCAGGCCTGCCTGTGAATTCTCCCTGTAGATGTTAGTGATTCTCTTAAATCTCGCAAGAAAAGCAAACAATTGAAGTTGATCCCTCAAAGAATCAGCATGTGCTCAGACTACTTGACAAGTATAAAACAAAAATCAGAACATTTGGTCTGATTATGATCCTATTTCTAACAATCAGCTATTAAGGGCGAGGAGGAAAAAAGGACTTAACTGTAAAGTTTATCAGTAGAAGCAAAGCTCTGATATTCACATGTAAACATTTCCAAATTAGTATTACAAAAGATTTAGCAATACTGCTCCTTGGTGTTGGATTATCTAACCTTGTAACTCTTAAAATGTCTTCAAGTTATAAAGTTCAGAAAGATGGTATATATTTGCATTGCATTTTTTGTATTTTGTAACAGCAAAAGTTCACAAGTCTAGACTTGCAACAAGCAAGAATATTCCACACTCAGCTTGCCTTTTCCCTACTGCTCTAAAAAAATTCATTCATATATTCTAAATTTTCACATTATGATCAGTATATACAGATAAATTCGGAACTGAATATTAGGTGAAGGAATAACTGAGTCTATTATTTATTAACTATTAGTTGTAATTATTAAAGAAGTATACTGACATTTTTCCTATAAAGTTTATCAACTATTATAAATGCAGCAGTCATAGGTCTACTTTATTAGGAATCATCATTTACTATGCTCTTAAATGCAGCAATAAAAGACACAGTACTCTTAGTTTATTCTGTGCACTGTAGGAACTCAATCTGCTATTTATACATTTCATTTCCTAGTATGCACAGTCCAAGATATGAAAGCAAGAAATGCAAAAGTTTGTTAACAGTAACAACAATTTCATAATTATCATTTTCCTGAAATGAATAATGCCTTGCAGTTGCTTAACTGTGGTAAAAACAAATTCTCTTAATACTTTGATCTTTATGTTAATACAAGCAAGGGTCAATATTACCCATGGTTTGATAAAAAAAACATTCTAAGTGTACCTGAATTACTTCTAAAATAAACCAAGAAGATAATTCAAATATCTTAAAGCAGTAAGAAACTTACATTTAGTAACAAAGTTCACTAATATGAGTAACAGTCTACTGAGACTAGTGAAAACAGAAGTTAAGCGTTAAACACAATAACACATTGTGAATATTAGATTTTCTTACTAAATCAGTAGTAATACTCACCCCTTGGAGCCCTTGGAACTGAATGGAAGGTCGAAAAGGAATTGAATTCTATTAAAAAAAAAACATAAGAAACAAACAGGTCAACCTTGGTTACTGTGAAACAATTAAATGTTTAAACTTTACTAAGTCTGTGTATTTAGACATTTGTGATGGGTCTCCAAAAGTATCTCTTCATTTATACACTTGGGCTTACTGGTCACTATATTAAAATTAAAATCCTGTGATCAACGATATCACACTTTGAAGATTCTTTGAACCATACAGTGTGGTATACCTGTGGAGGTTTATATCTCCTGGTAATGTACTCAACGTGACTTGACAAAAATGATTAGCTTACTGATAAAATTTATATTAAGCAAATTCTTCCTTAGTTTTTAAATGTATTTTCAAAAAGGATGGGGACAGGGAAGAGAACTGAAAGAAGAAGTTGCTAGAAATAAAAATAAAAGTACTTGAGAATGAACAGTGGTTTTTCCTTTTCCTCTCATTTCATCAAAATTACTTTTTAGTTGTGGATAGAAAAGATTATCATTTTTCTCACAAAATTCACTCCAGAATATAATTTTTGAACAGTGTTTTATTTAAGTATAAGCTTTGTTCTTTTCATAACATCCATATTTTATAATGGAGCTGATATTTAGACTATCTACCATAGTCACAGGCATGATTTACTGTATCCAAGGTCACCAGTATGTTTTTTCTATGGAAATTTTTTAAATTCTAACAGAAATTCATGTAGAAATCAGATTTGTGTAATATTAAGTAGTAATGTATCAGTAGCCTAAACACTATTTTTTATGCTTTAATTAATATCCAAATTTAATGCACAGAAACAAAAACAATGTTAACTGATCTTGTTTACCCCAAACAGAAACATAGATGTGTCTGCCTCTAGGCTTTGCACATTAGTTACCATTCCTACTACCTAGGACTTCAGAAAACTGCAGATTTTAAAAGTTTACTAATCAGGATTACAATAAACCCCACTGCTTCTTCAGTAGGTGATCTGAATATAAATATCAAGTGGCATATTATCAACTGTTCTCTCATTTATAAAAATGGAGAATTATCTTTCTGGAGAAAAAACACAGTAATAGATGCTCCTGACATTCTCATAATAGTATTATCGCTATAAAAAGAACATGTTTTATTCTAAAAAGATAAAAAAGATCATTCACCCTAAAAAACCATTTAAAAAATATTTGAGATAACATTGGTTTACATCACTATGTATAACTCAGGAAATAGGTTCCCAGATGTGCATCACAACACCGCACCTACAACTAGAGCACTATTATGCCTTTACAGTAGACCAGTGGGTCCCCACCCATCTAGTGGTCTCAACTCTGCAAGTCACTTCTAGACTTGGTTTCAGTGCAGTTCTGTGTGTTCCTTTGTTCTGTTTCTCTACATTCCACATATGAATGAAATTATCAAGTATTTGTCTTTCTCCCTCTAGTTTATTTCACTTAGAATAATCCCCTCCTGAACCTCCCAGTGGATAGGGGTTTAGTCTCAGCACTATCATTGTGATGGCTCACTGCAATTGCCTGAATTCTACCCCTGCCCAGGGAGCTAACCCACACTTGGTGCAGCAGACCTCTCAGCAGTGTATTTCAGTCAATATGCCTGTTCTGTCTCCACTCTGTCACTGGTGAATCCTTTCACTGCTCCTTTTCCCCACCTCTGTGCTATAGTCCACCTCTTTTATGCAAAAATAAAATTGTCTAAAAAAATAAATCCCCTGCAATTCTACCCAGGTTCTTTCAAATGGTAAAATTCATCTTTTATTTTTAATAGCTGAGTACTATTTGATATGTACATGTACCACATTTTCTTAATTGAACCATCTGTCATTGGGCACTTAGGTTGTTTCCATGACGTGGCTATTGTAAATAGTATAATGAACATAAGGAGCACATATATCCCTTTGAATTAGTGTTCCTGCTCTCACGTGGAGGTAAGGTGGTCTTACAATTTAGGTGACACGGATTTGGGTTCCAGCTCTCAAGGTATTTCAATCAGCTTTGCATCTTGATCTTTCTTCAAATTATCAACATTGAACATGGCCTAAGAGGCTACTGAAACTTTCTTTTCCTGCAACCAATGGGTACAGTGATTTAAATTGTTTCCTTTGAATTCATAATTTTTCTTGGGCTAATGAACGTCAATATTTCTCAAAGTTTTCAAGTTGCTGACTTCTGTTAGATGTTACTTCTTCCTTACACTTAAAAACACTAGCCTCCTCCTAGCTCTTTGATAAAAACTTTCATTTCATAAGTTTCCCTTTCCTCTTTCCAGATCCTCTTTGCTGGTTTGGTGATGACTTTGCATTTTTCTCTATTCCTCAACTGCCATCTCTCTACAATCTGCTTTTATCTCTGCTTAGGACAGTGGTTGCATTAGAAACTCTCAGTGGCAGCAAAACTGGCAAACATTAAACCAAACCCACCTCCCCCTCAACCAAACTGGCACCTCTTCTTTTACGGCAAGGTTCTTCCTATCATTTTGGTTTTCCTGGCTCAACCTTGAATTTAGTCTTTTTTCCCCACTTCCCTTTACCACATTCTAGTATTTAATTACATACCACTGGGGTCATAGATTTCCAAATCCAGAAATAATACAAGGTGTCCTATTAACAGCTAAGCTAGAGACAGAACTAATCCTCCTATATTGCCATGCTGCTTTTATTCCATTACTTTGTGCACTCCACACCCATCAGTTAGGAAGATTCAACAGTATAAGGGCATAATCTTTCAAGCTATAGAGTTTACATTTTACATGGGCAACATCTGAGAATGATTAAGTATTAGGCTAAATGCTACCTGGAATCTTCAAAACGGACTAGAGTATGGGTTAGAACAGACTGTACAAAAGCCAAAGGGTATACAGAAAAAGTGGATCTTGAATAGCAATTCAAATGAGACTAATCTAAGGAGTAGGAGTGCCCTAAGCAAAAATGCAAGGAGATAAGGATGAGGTACTACGTGGCAGAAGGAAGGTCTCTTAGTACATCACAGAAAATACAAGTTGTGCTTTCACACTTGAAACACAACACAAAGAATGGGAATTGGACCTGGTGATCCCTGCCTTATCTTTCCTTGACCTTAAATTTGTTTTCATTTTTTTGCTTCTACCTGTTACATTAAAGAAAAAAACACAACACATTAATTTAGGACCTTACAATTCTGTGAAATAACCTCACCCTAATCCTCTCCATTACCCACTCAGCAGTGGCCTTGTAATCCTTGCCTTTGGCATGATAAACAACTGGAAACTCTTATAATTTGGAATAAGAAAATGAGTTGCTTAAGTGTTTCAAGAAAGCAGGTGTTTTAGTCTTGTGTAAGAATGATGGAGGGAGAGGACTGCAGTTAGGGAAAGGGATTAGAGATCAACTTCAAGGGATCGTTTATTTAGAAATACTCAGGTAATAAGGATCTAAATTACTATATTACATCTGGAGAAAAAGGTGAAAGTATTTATTAACATTATATTCAAGCTAAAAAAATGATGTTGGGCATATTCTCTTTATATATGCTGTATACTACTATATACATTATACTCCCTATAGTCAAGAGTTGTAGAGACAATAATATGACTGTACATTATATTTAGTAACTTTGAAGGGTAATTTGACTATCTGATTTTTGCTTCATGACTGATATTTAAAAATTAAGTAGGTATGCTTTTATAGTTTTAGCTGTATTTCTTGATTATACATCAAAAATATTACTTTTTTTACACAGTTCCATAATATACAGAGAATTTATATATCTCTTGTCTCAAATGAGCCCCCCCAAACTAGTTCTGTAGTAGGAAGGCATCATCACCCCCATCACCCCCTGTCAAAGGGAGGTAAATGACTCTACAATAGGTACAGTGCATTGTTTAGAAACACCAAGCTAGAGATTAGCAAGACTGGACCTCAAATCCCTGAAGCCCAAATGAAGAACATTTTCTCTTGCCTCTATAAAAGTCACCCTCTAATGCTGAATATTTAAAACATTTAAAAATTCTTAAGTGAGCTCAGTTCTATTGGATGTTTCCAACGAAACTTTTTATAATTTCCAAAGTTCAGCTTTTGATAAAACTTAAAAAAAATTAGCCTTTCTTTTCTTCTCTCTCTCTCTCTTTCTTTGCTATAAGCACCATGTATATAGTAAAGGAGCAAATGTAAATATTTTGTTATTTTTCTTTAGATATAACATTTATGGAATAGATGTTTCTTTTCCAACAGAACAAGTAAGATCACTATTACTGAAATGTTTCTTTAAGATATTTGACAACCTTGAGGAGAAAAATACACAAGAGACCCACAAATGCTTTATTGATTTCAATCCCAATTTTAGGCAAAAAGATATTACTAGGCTACAGTTCTTGAATGTTTTTAAAACATGAGGAAACAGAACTCGATACACTTACATATACCTGACCACTGTGCTAATGGGCAGTTACCATGGAACTTTGATTTAACTCAAAGTTAACCTCTGATTATTTAAAATCAACCAACACTTTATTGGTATTTATATTTGGGATTTATCTGAGCACCTAAGATGCATTGTAAATCATGACAAAGATAATGCAAAAATAATCCCAACAGCAAATGTGATTTTGGGACTTTGCCAAACCCAGAAAACTTTCCATAATTGGTGATGGTTCAGGTGACTGCTTTAAGTAGGATGGGATTGTCTTAAAAAACAATTACAGCTACCTAGTTACTACTTAATTGAGTGTTTAATATGTGCAGGCACAACCATTTTTATTATCACCTCCATCAATTCTCCCAGAAACCCTGTGGGACAGATACCACTATTTGCATTTCTGAAATAAATACTATGAATTACCTAACATTACACAGTTAATAAATGGCATGGAACTCAAAGCCTGGCCTGTTTCACTTTAACAATTGTGCTCTTACCACTTTATACGGTTAGCCTATCCTGCCTTTGCTTAACAACAGTTATGTAAAATGTGAACTATATGAAAATTAGAAAATTGGGAACTGATAAGAATACTTTTCGGGGTGAATTTTTTTTATATATGTA